GGCATTCACACTTGTCAGCAATTTATTTTTTAAAAAGGGGGAGGGTCCTGGAGGTGAAGGGAGACTATAAAAAGGAAAAACTGGAAATTGGAAATGTACAAGTGTAAACCAACCCAAAATAAAAACATGGGGGGAGGGAGGTGGGGGGTGCGGGGAAAGGAGGGAATTCAGATGCAATTATACAGGCGGGGTACTTAAAAAAAAAAAAAAAAACCCAACAACCAAAATTCCAACCTTGTAGCTTGGGTCTGAGTTAGTTTATATAAAAATTAAAAACTGTATGAGGTTTCTTCACTAAATTCTACAGGACTATCGGATACCTAGCATATGCTTATAAAGTCTGCCCCATTCCCTTTTCCCAATCCCAGGGCCCAAGCCCCAACTAGAGCCTGATTCACAGGAGCCAATATCCCCCTCCCTGTAACCTAGACCTTTTGCTTTTGGAAAAGGAATATCCAATGGCTTTGGGGGCAGCAGCCCAGTCTCCCCACTGTCTGATTAATGATTTAATGTCATTTGCTCAGGGTGCCTGGGTGGCACAGTTAGATAAGCATCTGACTCTTGATTTCGGCTCAGGTCTTGATCTCAGGCTCATGAGATGGAGCCTTGTGTTGGGCTCCGTGCTCATCAGGGAGTCTGCTTGGCTTCTCTCTCTCTCTCTCTCTCTTTCTCTCTCCCTCCCTCTCCCTCTGCCCCTCCTGGTCATGCTCTCTCTCTCAAATAAATCTTTAAAAAAAAGTCAGTTGCTCAACCAATTGAGCTACCTAGGCGCCCTGAATTCTACATTTTAATGGATCCATCTTCAAACCTCCATCTTGCATGCTTCCTCCAGGGGAAGAAAAAGTTTTCAGGTATAGTCTAATATTCCAGGGAAAGAAAAGGTTTTCAGGTATAGTCTAATATTTGTTTGGGCTGATAGAGCATTGTGCTCCAACAGGAAACCACTCTGGAAAACATATGGAGGTTCCTCAGAAAGTTAAAAATAGAGCTACCCTAAGATTCAGCAATTGCACTACTAGGTATTTACCCAAAGAATACAAAAATACCAATCCAAAGGGATACATGCACCCTGATGTTTATTTTAGCATTATCTGCAATAGCCAAATTATGGAAACAGCCCAGATGTCCATCAACAGATGAATGGATAAAGAAGATATGGTATCTAGATACAATGTAATATTACTCAGCCATTAAAAAGAATAAAATCTCAGGGCACCTGGGTGGCTCCGTCATTAAGTGTCTGCCTTCGGCTCAGGTCATGATCCCAGGGTCCTGGGATCGAGCCCCGCATCAGGCTCCCTGCTCAGCCAGGAGCCTGCTTCTCCCTCTCACTCGCCCTGCTTGTGTTCCCTCTCTCACTGTCTCTCTCTCTGTCAAATAAATAAAATCTTTAAAAAAAAAAAAAAAGAATGAAATCTTGCCATTTTCAAGGACATGGATGGAGCTAGAGAGTATTATGCTATGTGAATTAAGTCAGTCAGAGAAAGACAAATACCATATGATTTCACTCATATGTGCAATTTAAGAAACAAAACAAATGAGCAAGGGGGGGGGGAAAGAGAGAGAGGTAATCCAAAAACCAGACTCTTAACCATACAGAACAACCTGATGATTGGGGATTAAGAAGTGCACCTGTGATGAGCCCCGGGTGTTGTAGAGAAGTACTGAATCACTATATTGTACACCTGAAATTAATAACTAATATTACACTGTATGTTAACTAACTGGAATTTATTATTTTTTTGAAGTTTAGATTTAGATTTAGGTCAATCAAAGAGTCATGTTTAGTAAAGATGTTTATTGGCTTCCAATGTATTTTTAAGTTATGGCTTATTATTTAAATTTTAGGTAGTTAACATACAGAGCATTATTGGTTTCTGGAGTAGAATTCAGTGATTCAGGAAGATGGGAGGCAAGGGTCAGAGGGAGAAGGAGAGAGAGAATCTTAAGCAGGCTCCACACTCAGCGCAGAGCGGGCTCGGTCTCACGACCCTGAGATCATGACCTGAGCAGAAATCAAGAGTTGGACACTCAACTGACTGAGACACCCAGGCACTCCTAACTAACTGGAATTTAAATAAAAATTTAAACAACCAAAAAAAAGAAAACCTTTGCCTGAGTTAGCATTTTCCAATCATTTCTTGGAATACCAACAGATATTTTTGAAAAGCAAGAAGGTAGAAGCCAAACACTAGGGATACCTGGGTGCCTCATTTGGTTAAGCATCTGCCTTCAGCTCAGGTCATTACCCAAGGGTCCTGGGATCGAGCCCCGCGTCAGGCTCCCTGCTCAGCAGGGAGTCTGCTTCTCCCTCTCCCTCTGCTTCTCTCTTGCTCTCTCTGTCAAATAAATAAAATCTTTAAAAAATAAAAATAATAAAATCTTGAAAAACAAAAAAATAACTAAAATAACAAAATTCTGTTCTTCATCACTTGGACAAAGTGCAGCGCCAAGGTCCATGCGCTGGTCCCCTCTACCAAGTCACAAAGTTCTGGATGTCTTGGTGGCCCTGCTCCACGCTGCCTGGGCTCTGGCTCAGATGTTGCTTCCTGGTCACAATCTTTAAGCCACTCCACGTGCCTTTCAACACACCATTTACCTCATTTGCAAAGTATCTTCCATTTCAGACTAGAGACTAGAAAGGGCCCCAAAGATGCAGAAGATGTGGGGTGCCTGGGTGGCTCATCGGTTAAGCATCTGCTCTTGGTTTCAGTTCAGGTCATGATCTCAGGGCTGTGAGACTGAGCCCTGCATAGGGCTCCGCGCTCAGCGGGAAGTCTGCTTCTCTCTCTCTCTCTCTCCCCCTCTGCCCCTCCCCTGGCTCACATGCTCTCTCTCTCTAAAGTAAATAAAATCTTAAAAAAAAAAAAGATACAGAATATACCTAGCAGACATCTGGCCATGTCCATAGCACTTTTGCTGGCCAGAGGCCTCTACTAGACAAATTTGGGGGTGTGACCCCGGTAGACCATGATGAATTTGAACGGTCCATCAGCCTGAGACTGCATGTCAATAAGGTCCACCTGGCACCAGCTCCTCGTCTCCACAAACATCAGTCTTCAACAACATACCTTTCTCTACAGGATGCAACTTAACGCTGGCAGGGTTTGCATAGCTTCAAGCACAGGAGTATGGCTTCCTGCGTCACATTCTTGTATCTCTTCAGCTCTGCCAGCATCCTAGGCTCCATGCACAATGCTAACATGGGCTCATGCAGCACATCCTACATGTGATCATTTTTGACATAGTAGCAAAAGCTCGAGTTGCCTTCTGACAGGGGGACAATTAGCATTTCCTCATTCCCAAGGCAAATGAGAAATCGCTTCAGTTGGCAGAGAGAGAGGGTAGATTCCTCTTTTCTGGTTTGGTATGTTTCACTTGTTCGACTAGCTCGCTGTATTTGTCACTCGAAATACATGGAATTGTCTTCTCTCTTTTTAGACAGTAAAAGGTTAAAACAGTGATAAAACTGTTGTTTGGCATCACACCCAAGATCCTCCCTGGATGCAGCTGGGAACTGAGACAAAGGTGAGGAGCTATACTGGCTGGAAACTAGAGCAGGTACAGTTTACTGAAAACACTCGCCCAGGTCCCCCTGCCAGGGCAGCTGGGCACTCACTGACCAGCAGGCTTGGACTCCCAAATGGAGATGGGCCACATGCCCCATGGCCAACTAATAACAAGTGACTCTTCCCTTACCTGATTAATGTCCCCAAGGGTGTTTAAAGTCAGGCTCTGATCCGACTCTGATTCTACATTAAGTGGTGCAGGCACCCAAATGGGAGAAGCTGACCAGCAACCCTGGGATCCCAAGATACACCCACGGTGGCCACTCCCAGGAGATCCCAGAGCTGGCCCCACCACTAGGGCAGAAGAGTTGCCTGCTCGGGTGCAACAGGTCCAGCCAGCAGGTAGTACTCATTTCCCGCATGTAATTTGAGGTCAAGTCTGGGCATATCTCAGCCAGGTGTGCGCAGGTGTGTACAGAAGGCAGATGGGAGATGTGTGGGCATCTTGGCCCCAAAGCAAAACCTTCAGGTCAAATTTAAACAATAACCAATCCCCTAAGCTAGCCCTCCCTCTCCCCACTCCTGTGGAAAGAGGGTAGGCTCAGGTGAAGGCTTTCTGCAGCAGGAATCCATGGCTGGAAACAGACCACTCACCTGAAGGCCTATGTGTCCGGCAATAAGGCCAACCTGCTCCCCAAAATCCACATCCTTACCCAAACAGCTCACATCCCCGAAGGCTGCCTTCTGCAGGGCACTGGGTGGCCCCCAGTCTTCCCTCGTGGGATCCGGGGCCTTTCTCCAAATGCCACCCCTGTCTGGAATAAGCCGTGTCCACAGGGAGAAGTCAAAGGGGCATGGCAGAAGTCAAATGGAAACCAGTAAACAAAGGGGGTGCAAGGCAGAGAGAGCGGGGGAGGAGACGAGAAGAAAGGAATTAGCATCCAGTTTTGGCCAAGAGAAACCTGCAGCCATGAGGATGCCCCTTGCTAGGGGCTGGGAGGCCTGGTGAGTATGCTGCCTCCCAAGCTCACCCACCAGGGGTTGAAGTCTCTCCTCTCTCCCTAGCCAGTCAGTGGGGACACAACACCATTCCAGAGAACAGGACAGGTTGACAATTAGCACCCAAGGCCCCAGAGGAACAGAGCGTGGAGGTGTGTGGCCAGGCACTCCTCCCACCCAAACCTACTCTCCGTATCACTGGGTCTCTTTGGAGGCTCATCTGGGGTCAGCCTTTTCTGTCTGCAGGGCCTAAAGCCCAGCTGAGAGATGAGATGACCAGAAACCAAGCAAAACCCCTCTCCTGACTGAATGTCCACACAGCTCCGAGAGTCCCACACTAAACAGAGGGAGAGCTCACAAGCACAGGAACACTGCTGGGCATGCTGCACAGTGAGCCGGGCTTTGTCAAGGACTTCCATTAAGAAACTTGGTACGCTTTCCTCCAAAGGGCCCAGGACACACACACACACACACACACATCACACTTGAGAATTCATCACGGCTTTTAAAACCATGTATTTGAGAAGTTCACTTGGGATAAGAAATTATTTGCTGATAAAAATCATGTGGGGAATTAACATAATGAAATGGAAAAATTCAGGCCACTGCAACTTCAACATGAACAAAGGGAGTCATGAGGAAGCCCTCCCCCTGACAGAGTCCTGTGTGCCTGGAGCTCCCAAGCCCCTGCCGCCAGCACCAGCACCACTACTTGGGGCCTCTCTTGTCCTTGAAAGCCTCCCGAGAGCAGCTGACGATGTTGTTTATGGCCCAGCAGACTCTGAGGCTGCACTCCAGGTTGGGGTCATCGCCCCTGATGATGTGCAGGCCAGCATCACAGTGTGCCAAAGCCATGGCCCGGTGTCTGGCGCTGAGCTGGGCGAGCCATCCTCAGCCTCCTCTGCAGTCGCATGCCCCTCTCCAGTCCCATCAGCTCCTCATTGGAGAGCCCGCCCGGGGCTCTGCAGCAGCTCCACCACATCTGCCTCGGTCACCTCTCTAAAACCCACACCATGGGCCAGTGCCAGGATGTCCTGCAGGATCTGCGGCAGAGTTGCTACATGCAGCCTGTTGGCATCCTGCTGGATGCCCTCGCGCCACAGCTTCCTCCACCCCCCATTCAGGGTAGCTGGCGGGACCTCCTCCCAGGACTCAGAGATGTTGTAGGAGGTGTCAAGAATGCTGTAGTCTCGCCAGAAGTCAAGGACCACCGACTGCTGGTCCCTGCCTCCCACCCGCAACGCCAACAGGCGGAAGACCGTCCGTGGGTAGAAGGCCTTGAAGGTGGCAACAATGCCCTGGTTCATGGGCTGGACGAGGGCCATGGTTTTCTCGGGCAGGTACAGCACACGCACGTGGTCCGAGAGGTCATCCAGGTTCCCAGGGTGGCCAGGGGCACGGTCCAGGATGAGCAGGGCTTTGTACGGGAGGCCGTACCGGGCACAGTCCCTCTCCACAGCTGGGCAGAAGTGCACAAACCACTCCTGGAGGATGCTCGTGGCAACCCAGGCTTCCTTGTGTGAACGCCACACCACGGGCAGGTTGGGCCCGGAGCAGCCCTTGAGGGCGTGCAGGTTCTCCGAGGGATACAGCAGCAGCAGCTTCACCTTGAAGCCACCAGCCGCACTGCCAAGCCGCGGCGTCAGGAGATCTCGGGCAGCTTTGCACCCCAGGGCTGACTTCTCCTCCAGGGAGAGGAGCATCCTGGCAGGCAGTCGCTTCCAGAAAAGTCCGGTCTCATCCACGCTGAACACCAGCCGGGGTGTGCACCCGCCCTCCTGGATCACTCTCCGCGCAAGGGCGGGGTACTTGGGCACAGCTGCCACAGTTGTGCCCACAGCCTTGACACCCACCCCAGGGCCAGGCAGGCTGTGGCGTGCCTTAAACCACGTGAACCACCCTCAACTAGCCCCGACCCTCACCCTGCTCCCACTTGAGGTCCTCAAACAGGCTGCGAGGCTTCTCCCGGATGAGGATGACACTGATGGGCACGTTGCGCTGGTTCTGGTCCTCGGTCCACACGCTTAGCAGCCGCTCCATGCTCTCCACCTCCAGGCTGCGGCTGCGCGTCAATCTGGTGGCCGCTGGGAACTCGCTTGGATCTTCTCCTTGTTGTCACAAACGGTAGCCACAGTGGAGGTGGACAGTCCCAACACCTTCCCGATTCTGCCACGCTTCCCTCCGGCTTCGAAGCACCACAACATCTCAAGCTTCACCTGCAGGCTGATAGCCTCGCGGTCCCCCTCGGTGCTTTGGCGCTGGCTTGCACTGGGCGGCCTCTTCAGAGGGATCTTCTGGCCAGAAACGGAGGAGGCTCTATCTGCATCCCTCTCTCCAGACATAGCTAAAGAATATGTGTTTTCCCGCCCTGTGCCTGCTGATTCCAGTGCCGCTGCTGCCCTGGCCCTGACCTGCTGTAAAATGGGGAGAAAACGTTTACTGGTGGGAATGTAGACAGGCTTGGATAATCCTGTCAAAGACCATTAATAAATCTCCCTCATTTGGCCACAGAGCTCACTTCCCACTGGATGAATTCTGGCCCCATGGACTAAATTAACTTCAGCCTCAGTAATGCGGCAAGCCTCTGAAAACCCACTACCACTTTTTAACAATGCCTCCCAATGGCCATACTGTTCTAAGTCAACTACTTCAGCCCGCCTCCTGAAGGATCCAGGGTAACACAAGACACAACAAGCTGATGTCAGACCAAAGGCAGAAATCAGAAATTAACAGGTTGCGGGGGGCGGGGGGGGCCTCAAAACATTGTGGCTGGGTACAGGAATTTATAACAACTGTTCATAAAACTGAACTCTGAGCTTTCAGGCCACCAAAGAGGAAAACAAGAAGCTGTCCAGTTACAAGAAATGCATTTTCATGGCTCTGAGCTTGCAGAGACCCTAAACAATATAATTAAGGATATCAAAACTCACAGTTTTTGCTTTGTGTTGTTTTGTTTGCTTGTTTTGCTAGAGGTAAGAACTGACCTTTGAACAACACAGAGTTAGGGGACCCCCCCCAAGCAACTGAAGATCCACTTATAACTTCTGACTACTAATAACTTACTGTTGACTAGAAGCTTTACCGATAACATAAGCAGTCAATTAACACATACTTTGTATGTTATATGTATTATACACTATATTTTTACAATAAAGCTAGGAAAAAAAGAAAATGTTATTAAAAGCACAAAGAAAATACATTACAGGGGAGCCTGGGTGGCTCAGTCAGTTAAGCGTCTGCCTTCAGCTCAGGTCATGATCCTGGAGTCCTGGGATCGAGCCCCGCATCGGGATCTCTGCTCGGCGGGGAGCCTGCTTCTCCCCCTGCCCCTCAGCCCGCTCATTCTCGCTCTCGCTCTCTCTCTCTC